TTGAAGCCCCATTTGGTGCTTGCATCTTATTTTGTTTTTTTTTTTTTGCTGCCTCCCTGTTGGTAGAGATACTCATAACAGCCTTGAAAGACATGCATGTTACTGTCACTGTTCTAAAGATTAAAAAACGGGTTCAGAAAAGGATCTACCCAACCTCACACAATTAACAGCTGAGCCAAGAATCAAATTCATATGGTCCACTTTATTCCAAGTAACAATTTATTCTATGGTTCTATTATTGTTCTGTAGTAATTAAAACACGTATTAAATGTTTTATTTTAAATGGGGGGAATTTTTCAAGTGTTTGTTACTGGAAATGACTGCTAAAATTAAGTTGTGCAGAGGAAGGTAGAGTACAAGTGGAGAGGCAAGATAAGGTTCACAGTACCTCACCTCAGAATCTGCAACACAGACAGATAATACCCACCTTAACTGTGCCATCGTCACTGCCAGTGCAGACAAGTTGAGGCCCTCTCCTGGCTGGATAACAGGAATTCACAAAGGAAGTATGTCCCTTTAGCCTTTTTACCCTCTCACCTGTTTCACTATCCCACACAGCCACAGTTTTATCTGTGGATGCTGAGAAGAGCATACTAGAAAGTAAGAGGAAGAACAAAAAAGAAATAAGTGAAGACAAACAGTAACTATCTTTTGTACTTGCCAAATGATGCCAAACTCTTCAAGATCACTGACCTGTTGTGCTTTGCGAGTTTGCCCCATGATGCTAGAATGCCTCACCCCACCAAAATCCTATTTGTGCTCTAGACCCAGATGTAAGATCTACCTGTATGAAGTTTTAAAACTTCCCCTTCTTTAAGTCCCCATGACATACATCTAATATAGCAGTTTGTTCTTTTCTCTTTTGTGATAGGTTTTGTTCTATCTTTTTCTCTTTTGTGATAGGTAACGTTTTACAAATAAGACACCCTCTCACTTGGAAATGTTTAATCACTCCCTGGTGCTGCAGAGACAGACTATGCCAACTCTGGACCTGACAACTGAGTAACTCCAATCCTTTCTCTCTACCAAACTTTTTCTTTTGTCTCTGAGGACAATTTCTTTCTTACAGATTTTTTTGAGATGAGATCTTGCTTTGTCGCCCAGGCTGGAATCATGGCTCACTGAAGCCTCGACCTCCTGGGCTCAAGTGATCCTCCCACCTCAGGCTGTGGTCCCTCTTGAGTAGCTGGGACCACAGGCCTGTGCCACCATGCCCAGCTACTTTTTAAAATCATTTGTAGAGGCAAGGTCTCATTATGTTGTCCAGGCTAGTCTTCAACTTCTGGGATCAAGCAGTCTTCCTGTCTCAGCCTCCCAAAGTGCTAGGGATACAGGCATGAGCAACCGCACCCAGCCTCTGAGGATGATTTCTAAGTAATAACTGAACTTACAATGCTTTCTTTTTTGATTTTTTTTGAGATGGAGTCTCGCTGTGTTGCCCAGGGTGGTTTTGAACTCTTGGGCTCCAGGAATCCTCCTGCTTCAGCCTCCCAAATAGCTGGGATTATAAACGCATGCCATTGTGCTGAGCTTTCTAATGCTTTATTTAAAATGATTACAATGCTATGTGTCAATTGATGGCGCACCCTAAGATTTTAGAGATCAGAAATGTAAAACAAGTTGGGCGTGGTGGCTCACGCCTGTAATCCTAGCACTTTGGGAGGCTGAGGCAGGCAGATCACCTGAGGTCAGGAGTTCAAGACCAGCCTGACCAACATGGAGAAACCCCATCTCTACTAAAAATACAAATTAGCCAGGCGTGGTGGCGTGTGCCTGTAATCAGCTACATGGGAGGCTGAGGTAGGAGAATCGCTTGAACCTGAGAGGTGGAGGTTGCGGTGAGCTGAGATTGTGCCACTGTATTCCAGCCTGGGCAACAGAAATGAATCACATCTCAAAAAAAAAAAAAAAAAGTAAAACAATGAATGTTTACCAGAATATCTAACAATGGAATTAATTTTGTATAGCCTGATTTCTATGTTATCTATAATATATTCCAAAATAATATAGTCATTAAATGTTTATGACATCAGATGTTGCTGAGCAATGTTAAAGAGAAAATGGCAGAAATAAGACTGTACACATAGTTCTAATAAACATGTAAAAACTTAACAGTTCTGAGTAGAAAAAAGTATAAAATTAACAGTGATTATCTTTGGAGTGACAGAAACATGGACTATTTTTTCATCTTTCTGCTTTTTTGGGTTACTTAAAAGAAATGATTTTTATAATAAAAATAATTTCAGGCCATACTTGGTGGTTAATGCCTGTAATCACAGCGTTATTGGGAGGCTGAGGCAGGCGGACTGCTTGAGCTCAGGAGCAATATAGTGAGACCATGTCTCTCCAAAGATTTTTAAAAATTAGCTGGGCATGGAGGTGTGGGCTTGCAGTCCCAGCTATTTAGAAGGCTGAGGTGGGAGGATTCCTTGAGTCCAGGAGGCTGAGGCTGCAGTGAGTCATGTTCGTGTCATTACACTCCAGCTTACATATAAAAATCACATTTTATGTCTTAAAAAAAAAGAATGCAAGTTTGTCTGGGTTGTGGAAATGACAGATATGATCTCTTTATATTTGCATACACAGACAATAAACACCTCACTTGGGGTGACAGTGATGAATCGAATAATAAAAGTAGCTACCCAAAATTAGTAGATTTTGATAGCAAGGTCTCCTGAGAGAGGATAATGGTGAAAGGACACCAAGAAGAATTAGTATGAGAAGCAGCTGTCATTCCATTATGCAGAATACTCACCTGCCATCTGTGTTGTAATGCAGTTCCATCACTGCTCCACTGTGTCCCTTCAGTGTGGCATAGTTATCACAGTCACCATAGACATTCCACAACACTGTTAGGGAGACGGGTTCTGTGAGCATTACTAGGCAAAGGGTACTTAAGAATTTATCAGAGCAACAGTTTTCAGGCCCAGCGCAGTGGCTCATGCCTGTAATCCCAGCACTTTTTGAGGCTGAGATGGGTGGACCACTTGAGGTCAGGAGCTTGAGATCAGGGTGACATGGCGAAACCCCATCTCTACTAAAAATACAAAAATTAGCCAGGCATGGCAGCAGGCACCCGTAACCCCAGCTACTCGGGAGGCTGAGGCAGAAGAATTACTTGAACCTGGGAGACAGAGGTTGCTGTGAGCCGGAGATAGTGCCACTGCATTCCAGTCTGGGTGACAGAGTGAGACTCTGCCTCAAA